CCCCCCACCCGGCTCTTCAGAGAAGTCCAAGAGACGGCCCCCATCGGGGAGCAGCAGAGGTGGGGAGACTTACTTTCTCCAACCACAACTCCCAGAATTCTGCCAGCCAGCGGCAGGCCTGGGGCTTCTGGGAGCTGTAGTGCACACAAGTCAACGTTGCCAAGCTGTGGCCCCCTGAGAGAGCCAGGGATGGTCACTTTGTCCATCTCAAGAGCAGGAGGCCTGAGATGTTGGCAAGGGAGGGGGCAGTCCAGGGGGCACGGGGTCAGGGCATCCCCCAGAGAGAAGGGGTTGGGCTTACTCACTGGGCAGATGCTGCAGCTGTGAGCTTCAACCATGCCTGGCCCCCCGCTGCCCTCTAGTGGAAGCAAGCCTGGCTGGGCTGCCTCCATGCATCTCAAAAAGTCTCTCTTGGTCAAGGCGGAGGGGGGGCGGCGAGTAGGGTCCAAAGTCTCTCTCCAGTTGCAAAAGCTTTCCTATGCCCTGCCAGTTTACCCCAACCCCAACCCCCAAGAAGACCACCATGGCCAGCCACATCTCATCACATGGCCAAGGCAAGAAAGCAAGGTGACCCTCTGCCAGCAAAACACTTTACGGGACAGATAGTTTTGTGTGTCACCTTTGAGTCCAAATGGCAGCCATCCTTAGCTCAGTTGCACCAGAGGAGCACAGTCAGGCCTGCCAGTGTCCTCATCTCCCAAGTGTGGGCATGTGACCCACCTCTGTACATGGTGTGGCTTGTGAAATGAATGCCCGTTTAGTTTACAGGTTGGAGGACTGTCCAGGGAACGTGGTCTCCTCTTGAGGCTGCCCTGACTGGGAGGGAGCTGGGGAGCACGAACCCCCCCCCCGAGAGGAGTGACCTTTCCTTCTTGCAAACCATCTTTTTTTAAGGAGTTGAAACCTGACATACTTTAATGCTTAGTCAGCCTTGAGTAATACAATTACAGGATATGCATCTTCCTCAGCTGCATCTCCTTGGCCTCCAAGAGCAGGCCCCTCCCCTAAAATGACAGGTTTGCATGAACACAAGGTCGCACAAAATTCCATCTGGAGCTTGTGGGCCCTCCCCCTTGCAGGACACCTACATGCCCGTCCCCCCCTTCCCCCACTCCTTTCCACCCTCCCCCCCCAAACCCCCAGCCTTAGGAACCTTTTGTGATCCTGGCTGATGACCCCTCTACTGGCCAATGCCCAGCAAGGTCTTCTTTATGAACGTCCAGGGTATGAAGACCCTCAAAATACTGTTTTAGAAGATAGAAAAATACACCACTTCCCAGGTGTGTGTGTGTGTGTGTGTGTTTGAGAGAGAGAGAGAGAGAGAGAGAGAGAGAGAGTTTCTGTAAAGTTTCGGTGCCCCCCCCCCCCCCCCCCCCTTGCCCGGGACTAGGACCCCTTTATACACGCCACCCTCCAGTCCTTGGCCGCCTGTTTGGTGATGCCAGGCTGGAGGAAACTCGGCTGTGCAGGGACAGGGCCTTTCCCCTACAGAGCGGTTTATTTGTTTATTTCCTTTTAGAACATTTGTTTAGTCACTTGTACCCATTCTTGGTGTTACAGTATCAAACCTAAGGCCCCTTGCAGATTAAGAGACGCAAGAGGGACAAACTGAAATCCGACACCTGCAAAGCAAAACTTTCAAACCACCCTTAGCCACAGGAGACCGGAAACAGGGCTGCCTGTAGGTTTGGACTGAAAATGCCTACTGGAACGAAACAGTCCTTAAAATCCGTCTAAAAATGAGAGAGAGAGAGAGAGAGAGAGAGAGAGAGAGAGAGAATAACAGCCCGCAGGGTGGCAGCCAAAATGCTGAAGGGCCCTCTGGTGCATGTTTTCCTTTCCAAGTGCAGGGAGCGTATCCTCAGCCGGCAGAGGTTTGTGCATGCAGTAAGGGGGCAGGCAGGGTGAGGGTGAGAAGGCCTGGCAAGACAAGAGGACCAGACACAACCCGACTTTTGGACACAAACTACACAGGGCACTGTTTCCCAAGCAGAAGCTGCCCACAGGGTGCCTCTGACACCATCACCAGCTGGCCCCCATCGTAGCCCTGCCACGCGCTTAACACCATCTCTCCTGCTGCTGCTTCATTCTCTAGACACAGGCAGGAACCTTGTCCTCAGCCTGTTCCAGCCAAACAGTTAGAAATCCCAGCCTGGCGACTGCTTCAGACTCCGAAGACTCCCTGCCTGGCGCAAAGACTTTTTTATTCAGGTGAACGCAATCGACTGGCTACTGAGAAGGGAAGCAGGACCAGGCTCTAGGGTGGGGCGAGGGGGTGGGCTAGGGGGGAGAGGGAGGAAGTGCCACTTGTAGCCTTCCTTACCAACAGCTGTTCTGGCTGGGAATGGCCACCCCACATTTCAAGGGCCACATGTTCCCCGCACCCCTGCAGTAGACCTGAGCACGCCTTCCAAGCCAGCTCTTTCTCCCCCCCACCAGGGTTCAGGTTCATAGCTCCTGGTCACACAGCAGAGGCCATACAAGGACAAAGAAAATCCTCCACCAAGCAAGGAGCACACCCCGCCTTTCCAAAGGGCTGTTGTTTGTGTGTTAATGATTGGCTGCTCTCAGTGCCAGAGGAACTGGGGGCAGCTAGCAGAGCTGTGTGCCTTGGGCAGCTTTGGCACGGGGCTCCTGGAGGTGGGGAGACAGTACCTTCAAGTAAAACTTGTCATTTCCGCCGCCGCCGCCCCACCGCCACCCTTTGCTTCTGGCTGTTCACATGTATTCACAGGCACGGAAGGAGGGCTGAGAGGGGCCGGTCCCCTTCACGCCTTCCCTGCTTCCTCACCAACCCAGCCGTGTGGGGCCGAGGGTGACAAAACTCCCCCCCCCCCGCTGTTGTTCCTCTGTGTATGGGAGGAAAGTCCAACCTGATGGAACAAAATGAATAATTCGGAACATGGTTTCTCTGGATGTATCACAGAGCTACTTCTCCTGTTCAGAGGGGAGGAAAAGTAACTCTCCCGGACTTTTCATTCAGAGCCCTGGAAGCAGATCAGATGCACCTCTCTCTCTCTGTGTTGCCTCTCTGTGTGGGCATGCACACACCCATTGGCCAGGGGTGGACTAGATGACTCTTGGGATCCCTTCCAAGTCTACACAATTCTAATTCTGTGAAGGCAGAGGTTTCCTTGGTGGCTGAGTGGGTCACACCTGGCATGTATGAGACACCTGCCAGTTCTACCGCTGCTTTTTTTCTTCTTCTAAGAAGGAATGCCCTTGGTCTTTGTGGGCAAGACTGAGCTGTCAGGGGAGGGGAGGAGAAGGGGAGGGGAGCACAGGTTTCTCTCCCTGTCTTGCACTTCTTCAGCAAAGCAGGTTTGTGTGTGTGTGGGGGTAGTCAGAACAGGGTGGGCAGTGCATTGCAACCCCCCTTGAACAGCCCTGGATCACTCTCCTTTCCCGAACCCTCTGCCTGCGGCTGGCTACCCCTCCTCAGTAAGCAAATGAGACCAAAGAGACTTCTGACAACAGCAGACTTGGCCTGGTTTGAAAGCAACCTATTGGGGCCCCACCCCTGAAAAGGATTCATCAGCATGGGGCTTAGGCACTGACTCTGAATCCAGATGTGGGAGGAAGATGAGGCAAGCCAGGTGGGAGCAAAGGGGCCTTATGAGGCCGAGCACATCTGGACAAAACCAAAGCCAAATTCTAGAAAGCAAAAAGGTAGTGGCACCTTAAAGACAAGACTCCAAGGTGAGTCTTCAGGGACCGATCCACTTCAGGGACCGATCCACCAGACCTAGGCCAGTGAAACAAAGCCTGGTCAGCCGAGGTAGGGATCATGACTTCGGACTGCCTACAGAAGGGAGGGAGGGAGGGAGGGAGGTGCAGGCTAGCAGTTTGGGGTGCAGAAACCTGATGTCTGGTACTCGGTTTAGTCCAGGAGCGCCAAAGAAGGAAAACTGGGATTGAAACACACACGCCGGCGCACTCACACTTTACAGGCAAGGAATTTAAGAGTCGCCCAGCAACACTAGACTTGGTTCCGAAAACGAGCCACCACGCTTGTGTCTGGGGGCCCCATCGAAGGCAACTTTCGGGGCGCCTGATGAGTAATGCGGAGCCCCTCCCTTCTCCTCCAGTTCTAGCTTGGAACCAAGGGAAGGGGAGCAAAAGGGATGCCAGACCCCTTCTGTTTCCGGAGTCCTCGGAGTGCCTGGTCAGTCCGCGCAGGGCTGCGTCAAGGCTGGCAAAGGATACGGCTCGAAGGCGCAGCCCAAGGGGTCCTGGGGTCGGCGGGTGGGTGCATTCCTGGGCACGTCGCCCTGAGCTCAAACAAACAACGCGCAACTTCAAAGAGGCAGCTGGCGTTTCCACCTCTCCTTGCAAAACAAAATGAAACAAAAAAGAACAAAAAACAAAACCGTGGGAGCTAGACTCAGCCGGGCGACCCACATCAGACCGAAGCGGGGGCAGCTTTGACCCTTCGCTTTAAGGCCCTCCCCAACCCAGATGGTTTAATTTTCGTAATCCGCGCGGGAAGGCGCCCGAGCTCCCCGGCTGGGTGTGGTGGGGAGGCTAATTAACCAGGGCGCGTCGCGGCAGAGCGGTGTCGGAGCCTGGCGAGGCAGGCGGAGCGGAGGGGAGCGCGCGAGCCCGCCGGGCCCTAGGC